CAAGTCAAGAATCACGGGCATTGATCATGATTGTAGTAGCAGTCAAATTTTCCTAGTTCATATTTTTCTAGGGCCTCTTGACTCGCTAAGACACAACTCCTAACAATGGCCAAGTGTAACCAATGAAAGGGACTGCAGTATAGTGGCCCAAGTAATAAATATCGAATCCACGGGTCTCTAGAGTTACTATTACTCAGCTTCAGTTCATTATCTAGCAAACCAGATTAAGATAGAACAACTAAAACTACTCTAGCAAACTACAGTTAAAGTTAATCTAATTACAGGTTGGGAACTCACTTAGGTATAATCCCCCCTAGCCACTAGCCTGATTAATGATTGATGATCTCTAACCTGTTTCACTTTCATTCACAAAGCGGAGAATCCTTAACTAGACCTTGAGTCTCGACTAAAGGAACAAGGCCCTCTTGAGTCAATTGCCTAGAGGGACGTATCCTTCTCTAGAACAACCGATCAAGGCGTTCTGAACTAGATTCCCTCTATCAAATGAGGTTCTCAATCGATACAAAGCATTGAATCAACCCTTGACTAAAGCAATCGATTCAATACTATCAATCTATGGTGCTCTATTGACCTAATCAGGTATTCGCTCTCATAGGATCAAAGCAAAATCAATAATCTCGACTAAAATAGAATTGAGTCATGAAAACATGCATAGATTGAATATGAACTCAAGATTATCAAGTAGGAGTACTCATACAATCATCCAATCAAACAAACATAGCTAGGGTTCCTCAAAACCTAAGTAAAGGGAAGTTACTCCATAGAGAAGAGAGAGACTGCAGTAAGAATCTTCAGATGATCAGTCTTCAAGTTCGGGCTTCTTCCTCGAGCTTCCAAGGCAAAGAAATCCTCCAATTCCACTCCAAGAATGCCCTCAAATCGCACTCTCTCTCTTTGGTTCGTCCCTTGGGTGTTTGGGATCCAAAACCCAGCTCTCCCCCTCCAAAAACGCACAAAACAGGCTTTTAACAGCCTGCGTTTGCGACCCGCTCGGGTATTTTGGGTACCCGACCGGGTACTTTTGGTTCACGACCGGGGGGCCTTCTGATGCTGTCAAAAATCCCCTATCAGATGTTGGGGTATTTTGCAGTTCCGGGTCCCCTATCTTTGATTCTTCGTTTCTCCCTCGTTCGGACTCCAAATCAGGTGTCGTTTGATCCCAGATGCTCGTAGTCTCGTCCTTTTTCTTCTCATGAAAAGATTACATGATTCTATAGTAAAAAACTGAGGTATAAATCCATTCTTCTTCAAGTCATACCCGAGTTTCTTCCCCCGAGTCGCCAATTGATCTTCAATTGACTTGAAACATGCGCCTACGCTTCACTTTATGTGCTAGGACCTAAAATGTGACACAGGAACAAAACCTAGAGGAAAATAGGCCAAAGAATCGATAATACAAGCTTAAAAAATCAAGAAACAAAGGGGAAAACATGTGCAAATATCGAGTCATCACCTCTCACAACCACTTACTCAGGTGGCGAGCGACGAGTTCTATAGCTTGGAAAGTGCGAATATGTAGGTTGAGGTGCCTCCAAGGATGAAGTTCCTCTTGGTTTATGAAACTAAAAGGAAAACAAAGCAGAAAAAACCTATAGCTACTGGTGAGTGGAGGAAGCAGGAGGACGAAGCATTGCACAAGCAAGCTCCCCCTATAATTCTTTAGACAGTTAGACTCAGAATGTGATCCTACCAATATACATGTTGCTTGATCCTTGTGATATCTACTCCTACCTTGTGTCACGATAGTCACTAAGATTTGATATGCTACAAGGACCCTACATATTTCTCCCGTGAGGTGACACACAGTTCAATCGATTGATGATCAATCGTATAAGATGGTTGTATCCGGTCTTCACCTTATGAAACTAGGATATCAAGGCATACATCTCAAAGGGATGTACGCTTCGTGAAGTTCTCAACCAATCAACAATAGATAGCACAAAAAAACAAAGCAAAAGATGAAAGAATCAAAACATCGTATCTATGCCAAAATTGAACATTACAAAATCTAGAACCTCTAGGGTTCGTCCACCTCTGCAAATAAGGGAACTAACCGACCATGGGGATGAGATAAAAGGGATAAATTAATTGAAAGGAGATTCCATTGGAGTACTCCAAATTATTGCTCATAAAAGAGAATTCAAGGACTAGGTCGTCGATTCTGGTATCGATTTGCCTCGGATAACCAATGTCACTCTAAGTTGGGTGATACACTCTGTCGGCATCCTCTAATGCCTCCTATCAATGGCAACTGAACTACTACCCCTAGAAGTCTATTTATAGACTTCCTATTAGGGTTTGGGAGAGATAGGATTATGACCGTTATATCCAGCATCTTTGAGTCCTTATCGATCTCCACCAACTTGGCCATCAAAAAAATCATATTCCTTGAATATTTTGGCAACTTCTGGACAAGCCTCAATACGACAGCGCGAGCCTCGTTTTGCTGATTAGGTTACTGATTTCAGTGTACTTTTGTCCTTCTCCATTTCCCGCGTCTAACTCCTAATAGTCAAGTCTTGATGTCCCCTAACACTTACAAAGTGATCCACTAGATTGCTATGCCTTGGAAACACTCTAAACACTACCATGAGTGCATCAAACTGATAAAAACAAGCCTAGTGCTACTAGAATGCACTTTGAGTGATCATGTAGCAAATCCAATATATCATGACGATAAAAGTATTAAAACAATGAGGTTATGATCATAATTGGGTTATAAAAGAGTACTTTTCACTTGTCATCAGACATGCATATGATAATCATAGTCGTGACTTTCCAAAGGGTCACAACTATGATTTTCTCTAAAGATCGTGACACGACGAGTTTTAGAGGATCACGATCGTGATTCCTAATTGTGATTATGCCATTGACGGGTACAGAAGGGGTTTGCAAAATTCAGATAGGGGTCCAAGTTTTATATTGAGAATTTGAAAGAAGGAGAACCTTAAAGAGAGAAAGTGATGAAGGATTGCTCTTGGAGATGATTTTGAGGATTCATCCGCCAATGCAGCTCGGGAATCAAGTTCCGAAGTGAAGATTGATGACCAAAAGCTGATTTTTATCACCACCATGTTGTTCTTTGATTCCTCTAGTGATTTTGAATCTTAGTTTGTAATTGATTGATGCATATTTCAGTTAATCATTTGAATCATGGTCACGTTCCTATGATTTATGCTTTGACCTAGGAGAGATAAAATATGAATAGGTTGATTATAGCAACGCCAATTGGTGGTACGAAATTGATTACACAAGAGTGAATCGATTCACTGCTTTGTATTGGGTTTCAATCCAATCACAGGAATCTAGAGTCTATTGCCTTGGATTCTGTCTTAGTTGATGATAAACTCCCTCTACGCAGTCTAATAAGTCGGGGTCGCGATTGCTTTAATAAAGATTCCTGACTTATCAAGGATTCTCCACAATATGAACTTTGAGTGAAATGAATGACAACACCCGAATTTGTGTTATTTACCATTCCATTTGTTAGGTGTTTGTATGCCATATTCATTATCTTTGGCCACATGAGATGGATATTGTGCGATATTTGCTTCTCAATGTCATACTCTAAGATTTAGCACACATTTATTATTCTTTGGCCATTTGGTTTGACACTTCTTTATTCTCATCCTATTCTAGGCTATATGGTGTTTATTTGCTTGATTTAAGGCCCTAGCATCACAAGTACTTATTGTACCAAGTTTCGTGCCAATCGAGTCGTTTGAAGGCTGAAAAGAAGGTGGAACGAGGACCATAGTAAAGTTCACGGACGAGGAAAAAAATTTAACTCCTCCAAAAGGGCTGCCAATGATGAGCATAGAAGGTCTCATGGCCAACCTCGCAACCACGACAAGCACATAAGGAGAAAAGGTTCATTTCCATGAGAAAAAGGTCCCAAATATGATCTTTGGTCTCAGGCCATGAACTCAAGTTGACAACCTCATGTGAGTCATGTCAAAAGTTAATTGTCGTGAACTTTTGTTCACAGGCCGTGAGCCTGTCCTTAACAGAGATCCCCACCTCTTCTCAAAAGATCCCGGTCGTGAACCTTGTTCACAGACTATGATCGTATAATTCCCAGTCTATGAATAGGAGGATTTGTTTCAAAACAAAAGGGTCATCCTAGAAGAGAAAAGCATATTATGAGAAAATGTAGAGTGAGAGTGACGAGTTTGGAGAGGTGTTGGGTGATTTCTTCATCGTCCAATTTTATGTCCGAAACATAGAGTCCTAAAATAGGGCTTCATGCGAAGAAATGTTAAGGAGGTCACAACATCAAGTCAAGTTATTGGTTTCTTCAACGGAGATACAACCAGAGAAAATTATGAATATAATATGTGAATCAAGATGCTCAAGGGTGTACCATTATGAGGGGGTCCAATGTTATGAAGGTATTAACGACGCCTAATTATCGGAGAGCTTAACTTTTGCAGTGATTATCTTCACAAATGTCAGAGGCGTGGCTCAACGTTCTGAAAGTGTTAACATTGCCTATTCGCTAGACTCAGAGGTGATCCGAGATGAAACTTTCTGATTGATTTGTTCTTTAGGACGTGAATCACTGAAAAGCGTACACAACCATCGATCATATGATCCTTGTGATATATTAACATTCCACTCATAAGATTAATTCCATGGAATGTTGATAGTTGATAAAATTTCACATTCCGCCATCCAATACACCCTTTTAGTTGGATCCACAAAACCGAACAAGTATTCAACCGCAAGTAATAATATAACAGTGTTATTGTTGCAAACTTACAAGCAGCACTAGTTAGTTTCATGATAAGATCGATCAAAATTTTTGACAACACAAGCTTAAGTAAAGCCTCAAACCTAATATGGGACATTTCACATTCTTTGTGAGGTCTAGAATCCCTACGACAATTACACAAGGGACGCGTTATTACTTATAATTTTCTTGAGTTACACTAGGTAGGCCAGTGCTGGAAAAGGAAGTCTCCCTTTAAGACAGCAACTCATCCTCCACTCCTCTTCTTTGTTTGCCCTTGTTGCCTCCCTTGTCCTGCCTGAACAATGATGGAACTGGACATTGTTAGCCAACTTTACCCAACTCTTTCTTCCTTTTCATAGATAAGGACTTAAAATTCCCAGATTTTTTTGCTATCATAACTGCATATCTATAAATAACATCATACGATCAATGGAGTAACTCACAGCAGGTCTTTGACCAGGCAGCCTCCGTGTTGATGGAGCTCGTGCCACAGATGAAGCTGCTGCAGCAGCGGCAACCCGTATTCTGCCAAAGTTCAAACAGAATTTGCAGGTCAATATCTGTCAAACTCACAGCATAACTAATCCCTCGGGAAACTCTATTCCAGCGGTACCTACTTTCTATGAACATCAACATATTCATCAGTCTCATCCACAATTTCCTCCTGCATTGAATGGAAGGGAATCAGCAAGAGTACGAAACATGAAGCCTAAACTAGCTATTACAGAAATGCGGAATTTTAAGAGTTAAACTTACTTGAAGCAATTCCTCAAACACATCTTCCAGAGTAATAATACCAATGACTTCCCCATCTTCAATCTCCTCTGGAGCAGAAAGTAAGCTGTTCGTGGCAATGCCATTAAGCAACTGTGTTTTCTTATTTGAGGTGTTCCTCGAAGCTTTTTCAACTTCGATCACGACATTTTCTGATTTATCTTGCTTGGACAGGAGCGGGGTACTCAACTTGGAAATAAAATTCCCAAATTTGTTTTTGTCGAAAACTTCTCCATCAGTCGTAGATTGTAGACTTTTGGTCTTGCCTTTGACCTTTACCACAGCTGCCATATGACTACTTCCCTGCTGAAACTCGTTAAGGATATCATACAAAGGCATATCTGATGGAACCCTGGCAAACATATAGAAGAAAGAAATCACATTTCCTTTTTCTCATCTTCTTTTCTTTTGCCAGATTAATCATACAATACTGAAGGAGGAAAATCAGTGGGAGAACTCATAACTCAAGGGTGTACCTAGGCATTCGCCGGATAGAAACTGCACTAACTGGAGTTTCTGTTTCGGGACGAACCGTAAGAAGACTCTTCACCTAATCCACACCCAAAAAAAAAAAAGCAAAAACATCCTGAAATCAGTTAGAAAGCAACGTAGAGAAAAGGTGTAGCTGTTAATAGATGTTTCCAAACCCACCAGAAGAAGACCAATGATGTTCTTCGGACTTTCGGAATATATAGGAACGCGACTATGACCACGTGCAAGAATTTTGCCAATTGCTTCCCTGCAAACAGAGATACATGGTTTCATATCCATAGTCATGGCACGTACCATGTTAGTATATATAAATATTGACTTAAGAAATGGACCCAATCTACAGAAACCGAATGAGACAGCCATAGAAATGGATGAAGCTATTCCCTTAACGTCCATCGCTGAATGGTCGTGACCTATATGCAACACTGACTATCAAATAGAGGCAGATCCTAGTTGAACTGCATCCAAAATAATCCTAGAAGCATCTTGAGTTCATACTTCTGAAAGCAACTAAAGCTAAGACTTGATTGGGTAGATTGTTAAGACTGCCCTTATGGTCTTATGACAAGAAATCACAGAAAGCTGGGACAGATGAGCACAAGGCTGCAGTTTTTCATATCTTTCTTAAGATCCAACATTTTTTTTAAAGAACTTATTAAATATGAAAACCAAATCATGGAACAGGCACCCTTTCCCTCATCAATGGCAAAGCCGCAAAGGGGGAACATTTCAACACAAGTTTCATCTTTTCGGAAACATTTATATCTTAGATCTTAGGGTGCCATGCCATCAACAGGAGGGGGGAACATTTACATCTTGGTATTCAGACTTGAAAGTCAAAAGCTTCCATTATTGCTTTGGTAATATCATGCGTACGATGGTGACTACACGAAAATGAAAACATAAAGGGCAGCATCAGGATGAACTTACCAATCCAATTTGGACCTAACATCCAGGGAAAATGTTGATTCAATTGGCGTCATAGCTTCCTCCGCTGTCTGCATGGAAAAGAAATAATTCAGATTTGTTCAGCTCAAGACTAGGAGAACAATGAAAACAAGGATAAAAGGTGTGTTAAACCATGCAACGGAAATGTCACCTTTTCTGTCAAATCTAGTGCCCCACTAATGATTGTCGTCTCATCATGTGTGAGTTCACCCCCTTTTCCAGCCTAAGATGGACATAATGAATAAAAGTATCAGGAAACTTAGGTTTTCTGGAGCAATATTAGGTTAAATTTGCATGAGATCTCCTTGGAAGCTTTTAGTAGATGTGAAGAGTTTATTCCACTAAATGTTACCACGATAAGAAGCAATAAGAGTGGTTGATAAATGAAAGAGAAGCAAAAAGAGTGAGTATAACTTATTCATTTAGCTAGTCAAGCTCAAGCGATGGAGTGGCAGTATGTGTTACCTCTTGGCTGTGGATGGAGACGAGGGCTTTGAGCTGAGCTCTTCTGAATAGGGAGTCACTGTGTCCAAGTATAACATCCAGAGCCTGAAAGCAACTAAACTTTACTGGCTCAAACAAAATTACCACTTCACAATTATCCGTACATTGAGGCAAGTTATACGTGGACCAAATGACCAAGAAAAAAAAAAGCAGAGATCCATTTGATGACAGATTAAGAGGTTATCTGGCGAGACTCAACATGGTGTTTGCTTCGAAACAAAAAGACATTGTTCACAAGTGATGACACATTTCTAGAATTTTTCTGAAAATATCCAGATTTCCTGATTCATTATGCAGACAGATCATTCAAATTAGCACAAAAAATATTCCCATCCTCTACTAAAAAATTGCCTTGAACTTAATAATTGTCAGTTTGCCTCCTGAGCACACCCTTGGAGATCAGCAAGTCAGGTTAATCTCGAGTCAATACCATAAAATTCACACAATCTTAGACATTTTACAATGTACAGCGCTTTAAGCCTGATAAGTAATAACAAAACTTTTATCGATTAACATCTACTCCCAGAAATGGAAATTTCCAGAGCTTCAGTGTGTATATGGTAAGTTAGCATTCAAACGGCTTACAGGTTCACATACACGAACTCTGTAGTCGGAGTGTCAACAGCATACATAATCAACAATGATGATCTCCCTTATATATCTCCATCCAGACACGTGAATAACATCGAAGATTCTCGGAAGGAGGTAGAGCTCACCTTTCCAATTGGGTATGCGATGGGATAGCAAATGACCATCAAAATTCGAACCAACCACACGAAATTGGCACCCACATAGAGTCCGTACCTTGAACACACTGCTTGAGGAATAATCTGATTCAACTCAAATTAACACTTTAAACTGATTCATTCATCCCATGAAAAAGTAACTAAATTTAAACATAATAAAGGAAGCAAGAATGCTAAATTGAACGTGTAATTCTCACCTCCCCAAACGCGAGGACAAAGGTTACAGAGAGCACAACAGCAATCAAAGGAGTGAAAATCTTGTCAAGGCATATTGGGAGCGCCTCCATTGCACAAGCATTGCATAGCAGCAGAGTCACTAGAAGCTGGTGTTGCTTCTGTACCACGGGCAGAATTGCAGCTGAAAACACCCAAATAGGAAAGAAACATAAAGCCAAAACTCAGCTGATTTAAGTCAATTCGCCGTTGACAGAACCAAATTGCAGAAAAAGAGAACAGGAAAATTTTTTTTGGAGGAAAAGGAAAACAGACCAGCTTGCTTCTTCTCCGTCAGCGTACCGCTCCTCTGCAGAATCTCGAGGTCGACGAGGCCGAGGGACATCAAGCCCAAGGTAAGGCCGGACATAATGCCGGCGAAGAGCACGAGAATGCAAGAGATGCCCGCGTAGACGAACCACCAGACGGTGGCGAATTCCATGTCCTCGGCTTCGACGATGATGTGGTTTGCTCGGATCATTGTTCCGACTAGGGTTACGGCGTTCAACGCCAACATGGTTGATCCGGCGAAATGAGGACTAGGCGGGCGGCGGATCCTTCTTTGCTGTCGCTCTCTCAGCTTTGGTAGGTGGACGAAGAGAAGGGCTGTCTGTTCTCGAGGACTCACACTAGACGGTTACTGCATGAAGCCTAGCTCGAGGCAAAATTCGGCTGCTTCGACGTTGACCTGGAGCTGAATAAGCTCGTCATCTGGACTGGTGTTATCGTTGTGGGAGGATGGAGGGCTCATTTGCACGGGGAAACTCAAAGCATCACTCACTGGCCGCACCAGCGGTCATTTTGAGAGTGCAGGGAAATGGCGTCCACAGGTGATAATCTCTCTCCCGAACGGTGCCCGAGGCTTTGTCTTCACTACGTTGTCCGACGTGGCGTGTGGTAGGCCGTTGGTTTAAGGCGGCCATTTCGGTCAGAAAAAGACGGTTGGGTTAAAACTTAAATCCAACGTAGTCCGGACAAGGAAATGGGAAGATTGATGGCTGAATGGGTTCCGTTTAGCCCAATTTAATATGAATATATATGTGGAAAAAATCATAATGTGCATATATATATATATATATATATATATATGGCAAAATACATTTTCATAGCCATAACTATCCGCATTGTGATAGTAATAGTAAAATTTTGAAAAATACACAGATATAACCACTTTTCTAAAACTATTTTGACAACTTTAGCCATTTCCGTTAGAAATTTTAACACCGTTAACTCTTTGCTGATGTGGTCGTACGTGTCATCAAAAGTGAGCTCCATATCAAATATGAGTCACCAATTACAAGCCACGTCACCTTAGTTAAATTATTATTTTCAAAATCATTTAATTTTGGTTTTTTCTCCTCCATTCTTCTTTCCTTTCCCCTGGGTTAATCGAGGAATCCCCATTTATGAAATTGTGTCCGTCTATGGGAAATCCAAGAAGCAAACAAAGGAGGGAAGGAACCCTCACCACTACTCGCAGCGCCGAACTCCCCCATCGTCGGCGATGATAACGGCTGTGACGACTACGTCTGGACGGCGCCGCTGTGGACCTCCTCGGAAGGGGACCTGAAATTGGCGGGATTTTATCCATAAAGGAGGCGGCCAGTGGTGAAGCGAAGTCGCGACATTGCAGTCGATGGGAGGATCTAGATCCAGAGGCGAGGGATAGTTTTTGGGCGGTCCAGATTCTGTCTCATATTGCAGGGTTATTTGCCAGACGAAGTGGCTGAAACTTCACAGATTCAGCCATTGCGGGTTTTTGGCTTCTTCAGCAACGACGACAATGGTCGGGGATTCTTTTTCGTCCGACTCTGCCAGTGCAGGGGAGGATGAGTCGGCGGATTCAGATTTGAAAAAAAGTGTTGAATGGTGGTTGGTGGAGTAGCACAAGGAAGAACTTCTCCCCGATTGCTTTGTCGTGGTGAGGTAAATTTGGGGGCTTCTTTTTCTTTCGTTTCTCCTCTATTTTTTTTTAATTTGGATCCTCTCCTCCGCTATTAGATCTGTTGAAGGGTATATGGATTGGTTGTAGCGATGATAAAAAGTCAGAAGATGAAGGCGAATAGGCAGAAGAGTAGTGGATTCTGGAGGGTTGCTTGACTAATTGGGAAGACTAGTGAGAGAATGGGCAGAAGATGAAAGAGACGATGGGAGGTGGGTTTTACAGTTTACTTTGAATCGCTTGTTGGTCATGGTAGTGATGGAAGAAGGTAAAGCGACCGGGGGGGGAAGAAGGAAGGTAAGCGGCAGGGGATGAGAGGAATTAAGGAAGGTCCATTTTCACTAATTTTTTTCCAGTTAATTATAATAAAAATGAGATATTTCCAACTTGGCAAAGTCAACAAGACAAGTCGCCACATCACGTTATTCCAGTCAGCATCTATTACCATGCTGTTAAAGTTCTATTTAGTGTATTTTTCAAAACTTGGCTATTATTGTCACAAAGTGCAAAGTTATGGCTATCCGTGTGTATTTTGCCTATATATAATTATATAGGGTTACTATCTTAAATTGACGGAATGTTTTACTACTAGTACATACATTTGTCAGCAATGATAAAGAAAGGTTTTTTTTTTACAAAGGGTTAAATTTCATTCATGAAACGATTGTAGTACAAGCGTAGCCATTTACAACAAAGGTGAAATAAGATCAAGGATTTGAATCCATTCTTTGGGAAGAGATCCTTTTGTTGTTTCTCTTGCAACCCAGTCCGCACTCTTGTTCAATCTTCTAGGTGTAAAGTCCACTCGGATACGATCGTTAGAGTCCAAGATCTACCTGATGCGATGGATACATGCCCTCACTTGCCATTGCCCTGTCATGCTATTGCCCTTGATCGCGTTAACAAGAACTTTGCCATCCGAAAAACACTTGCAGTGAGGCCTGAATCATGTGCGAATCTGAGAGCCGTTAAAAGTGCCTTTGCTTCCACTACAATCGCTGATGAACAAAACAGAGTCCCAGCCCTTCCGTCAATTACTTGTCCATGGTTGTTACGAACAACAACACCATATGCCGCCACCTGGGATTCCGAGCAAAAAGCTCCATCATAGTGGATCTCCAACTGAGGATTTCCTGGCGGTGGATCAATAATTGTACGATGTGGGGGGGGGGGGGGGGGCTGGGGTAGAGATGGAGAAGAGCCTCCATTGACTGATCGTTGTTGGATGCCTCTCCAGTCATTGAAGCATCGAATCGCTTTCCTAGAGGTCACTTGCAGCTGAGGTCTCACTCCTTTGAACGTCATTTCATTTCAGGAAATCCAAATTGCCCAAAGTGTAGCAATGATGGCAATAATTGAAGTCTCTGGGGTCGTCACATGGATGTGGTAGATCCACATAAGGATTGACATTTCCCGTTGAGGAAGGGGAAAGGAGGCAAAAGCTTGATTCCACATTGCTCTAGCATGGGAGCACTCGAAGAAAACATGCCAGGTATCCTCAATATCTTCATCACACATTGCACAAACTGGAGAGCTTAGCATTTTGCGAAACCAGAGATTCCTCTTCGTTGCAATTGCGTTCCTCGTGATCCTCCAAACAAAGTTGAGAATCTTTGGCGGAAGGGTTAGATTCCACAACCACTTCCACTCCTTGGTGGAGCATCCTGGATGGTTGGGATCATAGGTTCCTAATCTGCCTCTCTCCGAAGATCTGAACACATGGTAAGCAGATCATTGTTCCGACTAGGGTTACGACGTTCACCGCCAACATGGTTGATCCGACGAAATGAGGACTAGGCGGGCGACGGATCCTTCTTTGCTGTCGCTCTCTCAGCTTTGGTAGGTGGACGAAGAGAAGACTGTCTGTTCGAGAGGACTCACACTAGACGGTTACTGCATGAAGTCTAGCTCGAGGCAAAATTCGGCTGCTTCGATGTTGACCTGGAGCTGAATAAGCTCGTCATCTGGACTGGTATTATCGTTGTGGGAGGATGGAGGGCTCATTTGCATGGGGAAACTCAAAGCATCACTCACTGGCCACACCAGCGGTCATTTTGAGAGTGCAGGGAAATGGCGTCCACAGGTGATAATCTCTCTCCCAAACTTTGCCCGAGGCTCTGTCTATACTACGTTGTCCGACGTGGCGTGTAGTAGGCCGTTGGTTTAAGGCGGCCATTTCGGTCAGAAAAAGACGGTAGGGTTAAATCCAACGTGATCCGGACAAGGAAGTGGGAAGATTGATGGCCGAATGGGTTTTGACACAAATATTGATTTTTTTTTTTAATTTACCACCAATATGGCGGATTAAAAAGTATTGACACAGATATTGTGTTTTGGAGAAAAGAATCGGCGAGAACACCTGAGAATTAGGCGCTGCCGCTTTAGCTGGTTTTTTGGACCGTTTTATTAATTTGACAGCGGCGGCGCCCAAGACTCAGGCGGCACCGCCTGAGACCTAGGCGAGTAGGTGGGAAATCATCCCAGGCGTTGGCGCCCGAGACTAAGGTGGCACCGCTGGCTTATTGCTGGCCACCCACCTTATAAAAAACCCAACCAATTTTGTTTCAGATTCACACCACAAAAAAATCATCCAAAATAGAGGAGAGAGCTCTGGGAATTTTTTTTTTGACAAGAGGGCATTGCATTTCCATTCCATTTTGAAAAGCCAAAGGTTACAGAAGGGGGGATACAACGTCAAAAATTTGAACCCATCCAGTGGGTAAAGTATTCTTGGCACATGATCTAGCTACCCAGTTTGCCATAGAGTTGCTCTTGCGACCAATGTGCTTGATCCGAACCATCGGGTTGTTATCCAACGTTTGCTTGATGCTTCCAATCCAAGCTGCCGCTAGCCAAGGCCATGTCATCGGTTGCTGACTGAGTGCTTTAACAAGGGTCAAGCAGTCCGAGTGGACAAGGCACGGAGAGCGAAGGGAAGCAGCCAAACGCGAGCCTTCCTCCAGAGCTTTAGCTTCCGCTTCAATAGGAGAGAAACAATGCAGGGACTCAGCCTTACCGTCACACACTTGACCATGGCTGTTCGTGACAACGACGCCAAAAGCCGCCTCCTGGGGGTCAGGGAAGAAAGACCCGTCGCAGTGTATCTAAAAAATATGAGTACTTAGCGGTGGTGAAGCTAGATTCGGTGGTGGGGTAGGCTGAGTAGTTGAAGTAGCAGTTGGTGGTTTCTTGGGGCAGGAGGTCCATTGATGATGAGCAGAGATTGCTTTTGAGATCATCGAAGGAGGCCAAGGTGTGGTGTTTCTGAAGATACACTCGTTTCTTGCTTTCCAAGTCTGCCAGAGAAGGAAAATAATTTTCTGGATGGAATAGATCAGGTACCTGGATGTCAGTGCATGCAGCCATTCCAGGAACGGGGTACTTGGATTAGGGTGGGAGAGCGAAGGCCATTCCTTACACCAGCCTTCATTTGCATGAGGGCATGCGAACCAGCAGTGGTGAATCGATTCGATCGGATGGGCACACAGCGGGCAGTTCATGCATGGGGAGCACTTTCTCTTGTGTAGGTTTTCTTTCGAGGCAAGGGCACCTCTCGATATTTTCCACACAAAGAATTTGAGCTTAGGGGGAATAGCAAGGCTCCATAGCCACTTCCATTGATCCTTATCCTCGGTAGAACACGAGCCCTGGTGTCCTTCAATTGTCCTGGTACGTTGGTGGAAGAGAAGGAAGGCTGACTTAACGGTGAAACAGCCGTGGTCAGTGAATCTCTATGCCCAGAAGTCTTCCAGTGAGCTTGGTCCAATAGGGATGGCCGCCACTTGTCTCGGGTCGTGTGGGCTAAGTAATTGTTCAAGTAGGTCGAACCTCCACTCTCTGTTGATACCATCGATCCAACAGTCCACTGTAGAAGGGTCCGGCCATTCAAAATCAATTAATCTTCCTGCACGGTCTCTTCTCCATGGGTCCTGAAAGGTTTTGGTTGATTTCCCGTTGCCAATGACCCTGATGATACCAGTTTCCATCCATTTTTTCGCCTCACAAAGGCTAGACCAGATCCACGATGCCTTCCCTCCCTTCTTGGCAGATAGAAAGTAGGTCTTAGGGAAGTAGATGCTTTTGAGTACCTTGACCCACAGAGCATCTTTGTTCGTGAGGATTCTCCAGGCCTGCTTAGCAAGTAGAGCCAGGTTGAAAGCGTGGAAGGGACGAAATCCAAGTCCCCCTTCACTTTTTGGGGTATACAAGACGTGGCCTGCCCTCCAGTGGATGGTTTTCCTGTTAGTCGATCCCCCCCAGAAGAAAATTTTCAGCATGACATCCATTTTCTTTGTGATAGACTTTGCCATAAGGAACAGGCACATGATATAGGAGGGAACCGCTTGGAACACTGCCTTGAGAAGGACTTCCCCCCCCCCCCCCCCCCCCCGGATAGAAGAAGGATTTTCCACGCTTCTCCTCTTTTTTCCATCCTTTGTACCAAAAAGTTGAAGGTTTCCTTCTTTGATCTCCCCCATTCCGTTGGAACTCCCAGATAGTTGGAATGGTGGCAGTCTGAGGCAAACCCTGCTTCATAAATGATAATTTCCTGGACATCCCTCGGGATATTATTGCTAAAGAACATGGATGACTTCTCCTTATTGACCTCTTGTCCTGTGATAGTCCCGTATTTCTCGATAATGGTCAGGATCTTCCTCGTTTCTTCGGTAGAGGCTTTCCCAAAGATTACCGTATCATCAACAAACAAGTAGTGAGAGAGAGTGGGGCAGTGCCTGTTAAGTTTGATGCCATTGATATCCTTGTTTGAGACTGCTTTTTCAATCAGGAAAGAAAGCGCATTCGACATGAGAATAAAGAGCAGAGGAGATAAAGGGTCTCCTTGGCGAATACCTCTTGAGGGCTTGAAACCAGCAGATGGTTCGCCATTAAAAAAGATTTTGAAGTTGACTGTTGAGATGCATGAGTGAATGCACTTACACCAAATTTGGTTGAAACCATAGGATTTGAGAAGATGAATCAGGAGATCCCATTCCACCAAGTCATAGGCCTTACGCATATCCAGTTTAAGCATAATTTCTTTCATGTTGCCTGATTTGAGCTTCTTAAAGTGGTTGAGCACCTCGTGTACAATGATGATATTGTCTTGTATATGTCTTCCTCCCGTGAAGGCCGACTGAAGTTCATTAACCAGATCAGGGAGCCAGGGTTGAAGTCTGTTGGACATAATCTTAGTGATAACCTTGTACCTGAAGTTACAGCAGCTGATTGGTCTGAATTGGCCAATACTTTCAGCGGCATCAGTCTTGGGAACAATGGTAATGAAGGTGTCGTTCCAGCCTTCAGGCGAAATCCCTGCCACGAAAAATTTGGAAATCTCCTTGCAGAAGGCATCACCCAGGGAAGTCCAGTATTTCCTAAAAAACAAACCAGGGAAGCCATCTGGTCCAGGAGCTTTATTTGCCCCCAACTGGAAAACTGCCCTACGAATTTCCTCGTTCTCAACTGGTGCACACAGGCCAACATTCATTTCATCCAAGATAAGTGTGGGGAATCCATCCAACAGGCTTGGATTGGACTGCTCGTTTTTTGCTTTTGAAAAGATTGTGGTAGAAGCCATTGACATGCTCCTCCAGGATCCTCGGATTGGAAATCCAGATTCCCTCCCCATCTCTAAGCTTCAGTATTCGGTTGCGATTCTTCCTTTTGATTGTACTGGCATGGAAGAAACTTGAATTCTGGTCACCTTCTTGTAGCCACCAAATTCTGGACCTCTGAGCCCAGAAAGATTCTTCAGAAGCCCACAAGGCCTCCAATTCTATCTGTAGATCCTTCTCTTCTCTAACCACCATAGGATCCCGAAGGCTCCCCTGAATAACTTGTAGTCTGTTAATAATCTCTTTTTCTCTTTTCAACTTGACAACTCTATCGTTTTTCGCCCACTTTCTAAGTCTTTCCTGACAATCGTTCAGGATATCGTTGACCGTCCCACCTTCTTGCCATCTGCTTGTGATAATGTGGCAACACTCTTCGCTTTCTCGCCATCTTTTGTCAAAACGAAAAGGAGTGATAATAGCTCTTCCTCTCGGATGAAGGTCAATACGAATATGGCAATGGTCCGATTCCACAAAGTCTTCGTGGTAAACTGTTGCAGATTCAAATTCCATTCGCCAAGAGGCCGAGCAGAGTGCTCGATCCAACCTTTCCCTTATTAGATCATTCCCTTGTTGCTTGTTGCTCCAAGTGAATGTTTGGCCAGAGAAACCAAGGTCAATCAGGGCATTAGAGTCAATGAAATACTTGAACGGACCCACATTTTCATTCCTAAGAGGGCAACGGCCCTGTTTTTCAAAAGGGTAGACTGCTACATTGAGGTCGCCCACCACCAACCACTGATCTTCCTGTCGCTCCCTCAGGGATGTCAGACGATCCCACAAAATACATCTCTCTACCGCCGTGGTAGGAGCGTGAAAAAAGGTGCATAAAAACTTGACATCATTCTTGCTAATACAGGTGTCCATGAAGGACTTACACGACTCTAAAATACTGACAGAGACATCATCTTTCCACCATAAAGCAAGTCCGCTTCCTTCACTAACTGGGCTGACATACTCAGAGTGATCAAACTTCGTACTCCTTCTCTTTTCTTCAATAAAACCGACATCCTTCCTTGTTTCCATAAGAAAAAGAACTGATGGGCCGAATTGACGACAGAGTCTGCCGCAGTAGCTCCTTGTAAGGGGCTGGCCAAACCCCCTGCAAAAATGGCTAATAGGTAATAGACACATATATTTTTGTAATTATATTATTCAAATGCTATTATGATTGTGTTTAGTTTTAATTAGTGAGTTTGTTTTTTTGTAGTGATTTTAGAAGATTTGAACTAGTCGTTCGGTGGAAATCGGAGAAAGTAGAGGATAATTAGGGCGTCAAATTCGTTGGTGGTAGTAGTTTTCAGTTGACGGTTCCATCCACATATCACAAACTTTGTGAGAATCTAATTCCGAGAATACGGCGCAGAGACGAAGCAGTACAAGATAGTGATGTGATCACAGGTTTCACTTACCGTCTTCCAGAATGGCAGAATGGTGTTTTATTTCATTATGCGATACCTATTATGGATGATGATAGCTTGAATGTGCTTTGGAATTTTATGGCACAAAATCCTTATTGTTTGGGTGCTGAGATACATGTTGAGCTCAGTGAGAATCAGGGTGGAGAGGAAGAAGATGATACATGGAGCGTGCCATCCGATCATGACTATGATGACGGTGATGACGGAGAGGAGGAAGATGAGGAGGAGGAGGAGGAGGAAGAGGGGGAAGGAGAGCAGCTTAATTATCCTCCATATTTTTACTTGCAGGGTAATGAAGAGGACGGAGAATTATCACTTGTTGATTCATATGGCGTAATTCCAATGCCTATTGTTGATAGTTTTGAAGGAGAATTCTACAAGGGGCAGATATTTCACTCGAAACAAGCTGCACAGATGGCGATTAAACACCACGCACTACAACGCAACTTTCAATATGGCGTGGTGGAGTTGTCACCTTCAATCTGGAAGGTCAGATGCTTGAGGCACAAGGATGACAATTGTCCTTGGATGGTGCGGTTTGGATGTCGAGATGTTGGAGGCGAATGGACTGTGAGAAAGGCTGAGTTGGTGCATTCTTGTAGCAGTACGACTCAACCGACGGATCATCGCCATCTTGATGTTGACATGATATCTGAGGCTATCAAACATTTGGTACGTGCCAAACCAAATCTGAGTGTTCTAACTGTTCAGGCCGAGTTGAAAGATAAGTTTAATATGCAAGTTACTTACAAGAAGGCTTGGTATGGGAAACAAAGAGCATTGGAGAAGTTGCATGGAAATTGGGAAGAATCCTACGATTTTTTGCAAACATTCTTGCGGGTGGTCAAGAGAAAAATGCCAACATCGGTGATTGATTGGGTAAGAGTTCCTTCGACTCAACCAGGTCATTCAATATTTTAGCGAGTATTCTGGGCTTATGGACCTTGTATAGATGGATTCAAGAATTGTCCAGACGTCATGGTTGTTGATGGAACATTTCTTATTCGGAAGTATAAAGGAGTGCTACTCATGGCGAGCTCATTTGATGGTCGGAAGAAGATTTTTCCAATTTCATTTGCCATAGTGGAGAGCGAGAATACTGAGAGTTGGCCATGGTTCATGAGGAACGTTCAGGGTTTGACTGATCGAAATGATGTATGCATCATCTCAGATAGACATGCAGGACTCTATGAAACCATGAATAACATCGGAAGAGGTTGGGAGTGGAGGTGGTGCATGCGACACTATGCAAGCAATTTGCAAAGGAAGACTAAAAGCAGAATTATGTATAAGCAACTATTTCGAGTCGGTAAGCTTTCTTCATTTAATTTTGTTATTTGTTTTCATGTAATTTTGTCATGAATTTATCTAACCCGTGTGGTGGTTTATTTTGTTAGCCGGAGAAAAACGGTTGGAGAAGTTCGATCGTCAAGTTGAGCAATTTAAGAAGGTGGCCACTGATAGAAATATTTCATGTGATAACTGGGTGGATCAACATCAGATTCGTTGGAGTTTAGCACATGATAACTACAATTGTGAGCGTCGTTGGTCTATCCTGACATCCAACATGGCAGAAAGCATCAATGGTGTTTTCAAAGGTATTCGTGCACTTCCTATAGCTTCTCTTGTGCAACATACCTATTGGCGATTGGTGGAGAAATTCGATAAGTACAGGTTGGAGACAGGAGCAGAAATTAGAAGTGGCGGTTCACAATACTCCACCAAGTGCGAAGAGCTGATGAAGCCGTGGTCACAAAAGGCAATTGGACATTCTGTGACAGCTCTTGATCGACGTCAAGGCATCTATGTAGTTCAGACTCCTCCCAACAATTTCAACATGACGGGGTCAAACACACTCACAGTTCACTTTGACGATCAAAACCGGGCGGGATTTTGCACCTGTGGTAAATGCGTATAGGTTTGTCAACGATGTCTACAAGCTGGAAACAGTGATGGCTTGTTATGGGACAAGTTTCGCACCTCTTGGTGAACCTAAGGGTTGGAAGAAGCATAATGGTCCTATTCTCCATCCTAATGTGCACATGATTAGGAAGCCGGGGAGGCCACGAGTTACAAGGATTCACAACGAGATGGACTGGCTAAGGGAGGGTGCATCACAACAAGTGTGTAGCAACTGTAACCAAGCGGGACATAATGCATCAACCTGCGATGGCCAAGCTAGTGGGAGTGGGAGCAACCGAGGAGGGAGCGGTGGCCAACAAAGTGCGAGAGGTGGTAGAAGAGGAAGTAGAGGTAATAGACGTGGCTGAGAGGTTGTAGAAGTTGTTGTATTTCTTTTGATTTACCATGTAAAAGTTGTTGTTTGTTTGAAGATGTTGTTGTTTGGTATGTAGTTGTTATGTTTTTTTATCGTTAATAATAATAATAACAATCCAAAATAATAGTCTAAATGAAGTACATAATAATAACAAATCCAAAAATAATAGTCTAAAGGAAGTACATAATAATAACAATCCAAAAATAAGGAAGTACATAATAATAACAATCCAAAAGTAATTGTCTCACTGACGACCACCACGACGACCACCACGACGACCACCATGCTCCACCGCTAGATGGCCTCCAGTACCACACCTCGCAGGCACCCTGTTACGTAGAGGTCTACCATCATACTACTGGGGCTCATCTTCCTCGACACCACCATCCTGATCCTGTGTACCGAACATATCATCCTGCTGAGACTGAAGATGCTCCTCAGGCTGACCGCCACCATGCTGCTGAGACTGAACATGCTGGTCATAATTCCACATCGTCTCCCGAAACGTCTCATGCTCCTCTAGGTTGCCCCACAGGTTGGGAGACGAGGCTGCTCTAGTATCACCACCTGAGGTCATGTTTCCCATCGTAGCATGCTGCGGTGTATGGAAGCTATCCTGTGGCTGATAGAAGCTCGAAGATGGATCTGACTAAAACTGTTGTCGTCGCGGCGGCTGAAAGCTCGAAGACGGATCTGACTGATACTGCTGCCGTCGTGGCGGTTGAAAGCTCGAGGAAGGATCTGACTGAAACTGCGACCGAAGCGGATTAAACTGGAAGCTCCTCGATGTAGGCCGGACGGGCTGTGCTCGCTGTCGATCTGAAACCCGGAATGGGTTAGGTACATCATGATGCTCACGTCGCTGTCTATGTGGCCTATGCTCCTGTCTGAACTATGGCTCTGGGACGACCCAGCCCGAGGTCGGATCAGTACGCTCTGGCCGGGCAGTCATGACGGGCTGATCATAATGGGGCTGTACAGGTACAGTTAGATCAGGGTATCTACGCTGCTCAAAACCTAGAGTAGCAACCCCGGATGCCATAAGGTTGGCCAAGTCCTCACACTGGTCGGGGGTCAGCCCTCCATCCCGTACACCGTCACGCAAACTCACCTCAGCATGCTCGATAGTGTCGTACTAAAAAACACCAACAAAATGTCAGATATTTCACACAGTTAACAACAAATTAAGCAAACAAATCAAATAACCAATGCAGTCAAAAGCGCGATTCAACCTAGAAGCGGAAAAGGGGTAAAATCATAAAGCGTAGAATCAAAGCGTAAAAGCGTAAGTTTTTGAAGCATAGTGAAAAATAACTAAAAAGCTAGGACATATACTATGTAAAATATGAATGCACCGAATTTAGATAAGTTAATAAATACATGCAATTCATGCCTCAAGTAGAGCAACTTGTACATCTTAATAATAAGTTCATAATGATAAATTTTAACAATAAGCCATTTCTTCCTCTATGCTAATGCATTCGGGAAGAGCCTAGCTGGTGAATTAGATTACTCTATTAAAGTTGAGAATGCATCCAAGTACATGATATGTATCTTTTAATCTCAAATGTATCATATTGTTGGTGATTTACTTTTAAAATATACTTTTTATAATTAATTTCATGAAAAGAATACTCATTTAGTGAACTAAAAGCGTAAAAACGTAAAGCGTTTTGGTGAACTAGAAGGATAAAAGCGCAAGATTTTAAGCTTTAAAGCGCAATTTAGTCTGATTTTATACACTTAACTTTTTATATGGAAACGAAAGCGTTTTGGTGACCTAAACGGGTAAAATCATAAGTTTTTAAGTTTTAAAAAGCGATTTTGACTGCATTGCAAATAACTAACCAATGCCACTACTGCAGCTCCTCTCCGTGTGCCGGAACCTCTGGTGACCTCTCTATACCACTCCATATGCTCCAAGTGGTAGGCTAACTCCTAATCAGTGTATGGAGCCGTCGCTACAAACTCGTGTCGACAGTTCCATAAAGCAAGCGACTCTCTGGAGGCGTGTACCAACTGCTGCCCACGCGATGGCCCACGAGTAGCCTGGCGAAGAAAAAACCTAACCTCAGCCTCAGGATGTGGCGGATGAGGCTCATGTTGCCTCATGCCAAGGTAAGGTTGATGAAAAGCAGATAAGTGGCACTATTGCTCGAAATGTCTCAGACTGTATCACACTACCTCTGAGATGAAGTGCTCTCTCAAGGTAAGGTTGCCACTACATAAAAAAATTAACGTTATTATCCCTAAATCTAAAAAAAATAAAACAAATGAAAAATATTCTATAAAATGGAATGTTATATACTAACCACCACGGTGTCCATCGCGTCAAACCACAGCTTGTACTGGAATAGCTGGTCACCATACTAACGACTGTTGGTTGAAAGCCAACGAAGACCACGTGGGGATGCATCCTCGGTGGCCTGTTCCCTCGTCTCTGAATCTCAAGGTGCCAGATGTGGGAATCGCTCCCACGCCCAGAACTGCAGTAGGGCGACCCATCCACCAAGGTCACCGCTTAGAGAAGTGCCGGTATGCGTAATGTGCAAAGTCGACCTACCCATCTCACGGTACAGGTAGGATAAAACAGCAGCTCCCCAGGCAAACCGTCCAGCTCTCTGCCAATCCTCAATCAGAAGTAGGTACTGTAGGTGCACCGTAGCTCCAGACCGATCCGGGAAAAGTACACCTCCAATCAGAGATAGAGCATAAGTTCGTGCAAACTGCTCTATAACCTCCTGTGATGCATTTTCCGGCAGATGACTGAATTCAACCCTTAGCCAAACAATCCTAATGACAGCGACACCGCCTACAAGATCAGCCGGAACCCGTCCTAACAGTCTCAAACAGATCGCCGACCACTCCTCATCTAGTATATCAACTACGACGGCATCACCGTCGATCGCCAGACCGGACAGTGTAACAACGTCCACTAACGTGATTGTGATCTCACCACACGGTAGATGGAAGGTTGGCGTCTCGGGTCGCCACTGCTCTACGAGCGCAGTAATCAAACTCGCATCAGGGTTCATAGGGACTAGGGGCACGACACTTAACAAGCCTGCCGCTTCGAGATATGGCCGATAAAGCTCATGGTAAGGTACTAAAATGGTCGTACCTCGAACATAGTAAGATCGATCACCAGCCTATAGTGCACAAAACTTATATTAATTCATTTTCATTCGTAATAATTCTAATTTCACCTAATAAATTCTAATCTGTCTAATCTAATATCAAATTATACTAATTTCAAAAAATTTGATACATAATCCTATTCTAATTTCAGGTGAGTTCAGTTCACCAAATAAAATAATCTAATTAGCTAATTAACTTTACATGAATAATTATCAAATACTTACCTCGTTTGTCCAAACAGAGTCGATACGATGTTGGCCATGTCCCCAAAGAAGTGTCGGATCGACCTGACCTGGATCAATTGTCGTCGGCGGTAATCTCATCGAATAAGGATCCATAAGCCTAGGAACTGCAAAAACAAAGCAACAAAACATTAAAAAAAATCCAAGCCGCCGACGAGAGTCTCACCGCGCAAACAACCGCCGACTCCACCACGACCTCGCTGGCCTCTCCCCCTGCCTCTGCCGGCGGCGACTGGTTCTTCGTTGGAGGACATCTCGGGCGGTGGGGCTTCTGTCAGTAGCGGCGCTTCACTCGACAGCGGCGGTGCTTCACTCTCCAGCGGCGGCACTTGACTCTCCAGTGGTGGCGCTTCACTCAGTAGCGGCGGCGCTCTATTCGGCAGCGGCGGCGCCTGACTCTGCGGCGTCGGCGCCTCGGTCCTGGGCGACAGCGCTTGCGGTGGCTGTTCTGCTTCGGGGGGTGGGGGTGTGTGTGTGGTGTGGAGGAGGGAAGAAGAGGAAGGAAGAAGAAGAGGAGATAAGGTGGAAGAGGGGCCCGAGGGTTCGGCAATTTAAAAAAAAA